ATTTCCTCATGATGTATACATGGGACATATATGTGTAAATGAATGCTAGAGCTTTTAAAACATATTCAAATTTAAAAACCAGAATATTTAACACAAAGTTAAATTTTATGATAACAGTTAAGGCCACATAGCCATCTTTGCTTGTGCTTATGTGATTGTTCAGTGAAAAGCATTTCAGCACATGTTTTAGTCTCACTAAGTCTCAAGAATGAGAGCCTTCTGGTTTGCTGAGCCATGGCATGAGCAAACAGCCAAACTCAAAGGAACTTCAGAATAACCACAGAAGCAAGACAGCAGAGTAGTGACTGAGAAAAGGTGAAATACACTATCTCCACTATTGAGGAAGATTTCTCTTGCTCTGTGGTGAATTTAGTAGGAAATTAAATAATCATCAAGATTTGATGTTATTTTTTCCCTTTAAAATTACTGCTAGAGGAGACACCAGAATTTCATAGAAGATCTCTTGCTAATTCACTACAGTACAAATATTGCTACAGGTGTAGATCTGAGTGCAGGAGTGGAACAGTATAAAAAATGTGAAAGAGTATATCAGAGAAAAGTCACAGTCAAATATTCCCCCTAGCCAACACGATGAGAGACAAAAGTACCGCAGATGCCCTCATTGTAGAAAATACAGACAACTCCACTTGTTTATTAAAATCTAACCCTGGCCTTGCTCCAAAATCTATGTTTGATGTCACAAAGTAGGAAGAATAACAAGGAATCCCTCCTGGCTGACGATTATCTAGCTTAGTATGTTATTCCACAGGATGAGATACTGCTGAGAAAACACACAGAAGTTTCATGCAGAAACCCAATCATGCAAGAATCACTTTATATCTTTTTCTCTTTCTTTCTGCTCTCCACTCTTCCTCTTTTCCAATGCTACAGCACTGGAGCTACTACTGGAGCAATCCAGCTACTGGTGAGGTCTTACTGTTTTTCAGTTCTGCTCAATAAATGGACTCAATAAATAGAGAGCTGGCACTGTGGCTCCTGACCTTAGTTGAGGTCTGACTGAGTTTCCTGCCAGTGCAACTCAGCCAACGCTGTGTGGCTCATTTGTGGAGTAAGGATTCCTCATTTATATCCAAGAGCTGGCCGACATTTGTCATATAAATCATATCCTTGCTCACATAGTCACTCAAAGCCACCTGAGCAATTCAGCAACCATTTCCACTTCCCATCCACCCACACATTTGTTAAAGCACATAGTCCAGTGTTTACAACAATATAGCTTTTTAAGACCTATGTACCTCTATATTTGCAGCAGGGACAATACTGGTGCCAATTCTAGCTCTGGAGGTTTTTTGAGATGAAGAAGCACTTTTGCTTTTCTTTAACTGGCCAAATCCTCACTGGTCATTATTTTTTGTTTGTTTTGTCGGTTTTTCTTTGTTTTTTTTTTTTCTTGTCTGCTTTTCTTTTTTTATTGTTGTCGTGAACTCTGATTAAATAGCCAATCTGATAGACTTTGAATTTTGCATTTTAGTTTCAAAAGACTGCATAATATTATTAGTACAATTTGGTGAAAGTAAGCGATCTTCAGTTTTGCAATGTGCCCATATTAAATGAAAAGAGATATTAACCTGTGTAAACTTCTGCCCTGTTACCATTTTCAAATTATGACCTTGTGAGACTGGATAAAGAAACAGCCATTAACATAAACTGGTACATTGCCATGAAACCAAAGGAGAAAGATAATGAGCTATCAAGCAGATTAGCATGAACTAAAACTGAAATGAACAACCCACATGTAAAAAAAAAAAAAAAAAAGTAATAAACCAGCCTCTAGTCTTCAGTATTTACTGCACATATAATGTCAGGTTGTTATTTTCACTGACATCTTTCTGAGCCTCTGCACGTTGTAGTACCCTCTATTAGAAACAACGCTGTCAGAACAGAAATAGCTTCATTTTCAGCTCTATCTCCACTGCTCCACTGAAACTTTCATTTCAATTTTTTTCAACTCCAAATTAATCTCTGGGGGGGAACCATATCCAATGTATGGCTGCTGAACCATACATAATGATATCACTGTAATAAATAGTTATAACAATTAATTTAAAAGCAAAGCCATATGATGACTAATTTTTAAAGGTGAGTTTGCTTGACTTTTTACACATATAGTGCATGTTCACAGCACAGTTTACCTCTCCTGTACTTTTTAACTACATGTGGATGGTGCTCCTTCATTTTCTCTACATACCAGTTAACTGGCATTATTCCTTAACAGAGAAGCAACTTTTCCCAAATACCTTCAGCAGATTTTATTCTCTGCCATGCTTAGAGGACCTGTCTGAACCTGGCCATTATAATGCCGATTTCATCTCCTTTGTTCTTTTGCTGTGTTCAAGCCAAATAACTGATAATGAAAGCAGAATGAATCAAGATGGGGAGTTGCCATCACAAGTAACTAAGCACTAGCAAGGAGAGAAGCCCAAGGTACTGAACCAGGGATAATGAAGGGTGTTTTTATCTTATTTGTTCACTTTCCCATCCCCATCAGCTTCTTACTGTAGCTCCCCCACCATAACCTCTGCCACTGAACTCTCACTTTTGGGCTCTTCCCTCTCAGTTCCATATTTCCAGTTTGCTGGAATGTCATTTCCTGAAACAGTTGCCTGTGTGCCTGCCTCTTTTTTTTAAGCAAAGTGCTGTTCCTCTTGCAACAATAAAGGTCTCACAATCCTTCTACCCACATAATGAGCTGTATACACATCAAATCCAGTGGCTGACATCTGTTTTCCTGGTGGATTTTAGGACATTAATTATATTACTATGAAAAAATGTTCAGTATGTTCATGGCTTGACAACATTGTGTGTGTTTTACAGACTCTGTCAGACTGTTTCTGGCTTAAACCTGTGGTACAATCTATATTCCATCTCCTCAGGATCAGACCTTCCAGAACATTGGACACTTGCTCCTGTCACAGTGAGGGAAAAAAAATATCCTCTTAGATCTTAGATTTTTCCTCTTTTAAGGAAAGATCATAGCTATGAAATGCATTGATCTTTTATGCTATGTAACAGATACTCATACACACACACAAACACCAGGAAGAAAACCTCTACTGAAAAGGTGAGTTCATGCAGTTCTCTGATATGAATCCTTCCCTTTCTGCCGGGAGGGAGAGATCCACATATTTCTGAAGCACCATTTTTACCTTTTTTTGCTTCCTACAAGCAAGAATGGATTTCTCCAACTCATGATAAAAGGCAACATAGCCATGGAAAAAAATATCCATTTGATCCAGAGTTCTCAACCACATTTACATACACATGTGTGTAACACTGATTTCTCTCAAGCACTCCTGCAGTATGAGTGCCCCTCTCATTTGAGGCATTCAGTCTCAGACCACATTAAGTGCTTGCCTGTATAATAAATTGCAAGGTATTTCATGCGCACAAGCTAAACTTCATTTTATCTAGGAAAGGACAAATTTCTGAGCTGTAAATTACAATGTACTTATATTTTAGAAGCTGCTCCATCCATGCATGATATATAGGTCTGGGTAGCAAACTCTTCTGGTGCTAAAAATATTATCATATATTTTACCTTCCCTGTCATTCAATTTACTGCCACTTCCTCATCTCAGTGTTAGTCTGGTGCTACCAGTTTGTCTTTGCTGGTCTGTATCATTATGAGTGAAAAATGCAAGTTAAAATCCCCAAACATATTTGATACCTTGAATGAAGTGATCAAAGTGAAACAGTCCGAAAGGAGTGAAATTCGCCCCCACACAACTTCATAAAAAGAGAACTATGAAGTATGAATATTGAAGTTTCAGAAAAGTATCATTATCTTCAGACCAGTAGAGAATGCATGGACTTTTTTTTCCCTACCTTAATTTTTAAATCTTAACCATAAAAGAGTTAATGTAAACAACAACAGGTACTGTAAATAGGACTCAAAGCCTATCAGGAATATATTTATATATATCTTGTCTAGATTACTTCAGAAAAAGTTACCTTGCTACTTGAAAAATGACATGATTAGTCAATGTCCTAAACTGGTTTTCAGAGATGGCAAACTAATTTATCATTTCCTTTTCTTCTTTTATACCTAGAAATTTTTATTGCAACTTTAAGTTGCCGTTCCAAATTTTTCAGCTCAACTCTCTCAATTAAATACACTTTTCTACAATGCATCTATTTGATTGACACAAACAGAGTATGACACCATTTGCCTAACTGCTTCTGATAAACAAAAGCTTTTCAAGAATTGCTTCCATGGTGGATGTCCCTATGACAAAGTGTTTCTAGAGCCTTATGCAACCTTAACTCAAATGCTTTTCCATTTTCTTCACTATTTCTCTAGCACTGGAGCAGCCTCACATATTTCATGGTAAGCAAAACTCCTGCTTGATTCCACCACTGTTTCATAAGACCAAACAGATCTGTAGATGCATGCCTTAAGTATTAATTACTGTGAATAATAAAATTCAGCAAGCAGCACAACATATGGTTCTACCTCTACTTTAGTCTCACTTTAGTGGCATTCTTGGACCCTTTTTTAAACACTGTACTATGACTAAAAAGTCAAAGAGAAAACAGCGCCATAAAGTAATTTAGTGCTGTTGACCATTACTTCACTAAACAATTATCTATTAATGTATGAGCACATGGGCTGTACATCAATTACACCAGATTTTCTGAACTGTCTTCTCATAACCCTAACTATCCTTTTTCACAATAGAATATCTTAACATCTTATTTCAAGAAATAAGGTTTATTGAAGTTTGTTGGTTTTTTTTTTTTTTTTTGTTAAATGGCTCCTGAGGTATATTATTTCTAAATAAAATGGCAATTTCTAATAATTTAAACCTTGTTTTTGACATGTCATTTGGGAGAAATGGAAAGAAAGGCAAATTTTATTTCACTGCTACTGGTGAAAATGCAAAATAAGAAAGATAATAAATTGCACTTACACTAGCATAATGAATATCAATATTTGTCATGTGGTAATAATGTAATAAGATACATAAAATTCAACTTACCTATCACATCAGATGTCCATGAGCCACAGTTCCACCTCAATCCAAAGAAAACTTGACCTGTTGAATATGAAGCAACATATTTTCACTCATGATAAAGTCTTGCCCTTTTTAGAACAGGCTATAAAAACATGGATTTCTGTGGGGAAAGGTGAAAAGCAGTTTAGCACTACAGACAACTTAGGATAGGATCACAAAACTTTCTTTTCACTTTCTGCTACAATTTGAATATGAACTGATAAATCACTGACTTCCCAATCAGTGATTGATCTCATTTTAATCTTTATACAGTGCTCACTGGGGTCCAGCACTGGGCTCTAAGAAGTATCTCAGGAAGATGTACAAAACCCCCTAGAGATTACTGAAAAACTAGAATTGGTATGCACAAATTATTATGATGTCCTTTGAATAAATCTTCAAAGACCAGAAAACAAGACACATTTTTCTTCCTTTACTTCCACTTTTCATCTTTGCTCCATATTTTCTCTCTCAGAGAAAAAACAAAAGAAGGGGGTGGAAAAGGGAAATGGAAAGAGAAAATAAGGACTGTCAGGGGGATGAGGGAGCTCTTTTCTGTCAACAGTATCATTATATCAATTGCATTTTTATGAAATCAGCTTTCTAAAAATCTTACCTGTCAAGTATTTAGTCCTCGTATATTTAGCCTAAGATCTTGAGCAATTTTGCTGAAATTTCTTGAGCTACAAAGCCAGACAAACAAGACTCCCTATCAGCCTGCACTCACTAGAAAGCAAGCAGAAATTAGAGGTGTCCAACACTCATAAATGTATGCAGAACATATTTATAATGCTAATATTCTTGAAAAGAAAACAGCTTCAACTTTCTACTATCTTGACAGTAATATAACATGAATGCAAACTTGAGATGATATAACACACAATTCTCCATCTTTTGGTGCACAGAACTGTAAGTTCTCATTGAAGAACGAAAAGTGAATCCACAATTGATGGCTTACATTGTTTTACATTTAAGCCGCAAAAGAAATATTGTTTTAGAGTAGGCTATGAAAAGATACACAAGTCAGGATAATTTAACCTATGACATCTGATACTGTTTTTAAAGCAATATCTATCAACGTTGGCCTTCCTGATTTCTGTTGGTGATACAGATGCAGGAAGTTCAACTGCATCAGAATGGGATCAGTAAGCAAAGGCTCAATCCCATTTCTACTCAATTGAGTGGCAGAACTTCCATTAACTTGATAGAGAATAATAGCAGTGCCTGAATGGCCAATGTTATCCTCTAGATCCCCTTTTCTTGCCCTGGGCTAGCATGATGTCCATAAATATTTCAGGATATAACAGGAAGGAAAAAAAATTAAAAATGTAGTTGTTTGGGAGAGTTGAGAAAGGTCAATTATTTCCATGGTTTTTTTTGTTTTGTGGTGACCCATGTTTGCACATAGCTAAGTGCAAACAAGAAAATAAACTCTAACACTATTACATGCTGCAAGGTTCAAACCAGCAGTACGGCTTTATAATGCATCAGGAAATTCCTCAGGAATAATTCTGTCATAGCATACTTGCATGATATGAAGAGGAAAGAGATGCAAAGCCATCAACTTTCTGCTACTGCCTGCAGGCAAATTGATTTGTCACGCACTTACACCTTCATGCAAGAGAAGAGTTACACATGCCTTTGTGCTGCTTTGCAGCACTTGTTTTCTATTAGAACAGTTTTCCTAGGGAACATTTCAATAATTAAAAGAGAAGAACCAGTTGGACAACATTTGCAGTTCAGATTAAATGTATCCACTGCTTTCAAACTAACAACACAAAGCTGATTCTCCACCCCACCCCTATGAATTACACTTCACTTTGCTTTACATTTCCTGAGCCTTGAATATTTTTGAAGTAATATTTGCATTAGTTCCTTGGAAGCAGCAAAACCTCTGTCTTTGAAACTATCAGGAATAGGAAATGAAACCAGTTCCTTTAGTCCCCTGCTGATCTCAGAAGGGTCTCTACATTTCCCTGAAGGTGCACAAGTCCTGTGGGTGGCCCAGGCATTTGAGCAGGCTCTGCCATGGGAAGATCCATGACTGAGAAAGGCTTTCACAGCCTATTTCTATGAGGTCTGAAAACATTTTAAAGACGAGTGGCAGGATACACACTGGCATATCTATCTCATCTTTGTAATAAATTTGCTAAAGTCTGAAAGAAAAAAGATTTTTTTTTAATGCTTTAAGATCCATAATTTCTTTATGTTTAAAATCTATAGTGTCTTTTTGTCTATTTGCATTTTTGTTTAGAGGAAGATTTATGAAGCAAAATTGGTATAATGGAAATATATTAGCAACATATTCAATCATTGATACATATGTTTATCTAGATTTTAAAAAATTAGCTTGAAGATTCAGCAGGTTTAACACACAGTGTTTTTCTTCTTTCAATTTCAAATGTATTTCCTTATATACAGAACTGAAAGCATTTCCTTTTTACATCAAGATAGAGTTCATGTCTCAATTATCTCTTTGCTTCCTTCTTTCAAAAGACCATCACCTTTCAGCACACAAAACAGTTATGCAATACTAATGATGGAAAAGATCTGTGAGTGAATCCTATTAGTTGTGCTCTATGCTGTTTGTCTGCAATATGGCTGTTTAAAATAGGGAATATTTTATCTTTGGACTAACCTGTCAGAGAAGGAAATGTACTATATGAAAGCTGATACAAATACAATTGGAAAAATGTGCAAGTCACACAAACCAATATCAAATTTCTTAAAAGAGTTAAATCTTCAAAAAAGTGCATTTTTCTCAGTGAGCAAACAATTTGGCATGCAGTGTAATTTAGTTTTCCTCTTAAGGCTGTTTCACACTTATCATACATGCTATGTATTGTTTAATTCTCCCTCAAGTAACAATATAAAGACCCTCAGCTCTAAGTTATTACTCCCTAATGTCTGAGGCAAGATATTAATTTATTGTTTCAAGTACAGGAAAGAACAATGGCTCAGGTATCACTGTGACTCTACAGACAAAGGCTTATTTGGCTTTGTTTGGCTACTGTTCTTTCCCTGTGCAGAGCTTCCTAATGAGTCAGCCATGATGGGATAAGCAGAGCAAAACTACATGTCCTGAAGGATAATCTGTTCACTTTCATGGGAAGGACACACAGACAGCAAAATTCATGCAAGGCAAAGACAATGTGGGATCCCTGTGGTGGAGATTGCCATGTCTGTGGCTCCCAAGGAGCCAGGCACCTTGGGAAGATGTTGCTAACACAAATTTTAAGAGAAGCCCCATGATGCTTCTTCTCTTTTCTGCCATCCATAGGGCGATAAAACCCTGTGACACAGCAATTCCTGTTTCATAGCTGTGGTACATCAGAAAAGAGTACCCAAAAGTCAAAACACATGTGGAAAGATGAGCTCTTGATTTGGGGTCTAAATTCAATATTTTGCAAATCATAGAAGACTGCATACTATACTATAGTGATTAGCCAAGATACATTTTCACATTGCACTGTGTTCTAGCCATGAAATTCTGTAAAGCACTAGATAAGGATTGCTTCTTTCATCCAGAGCACCAGGAGACCACAGGCAATTTATCTGAGAGGACTTTAGATAGAAACAAAAAAGGCAATGTTAATTAACGTAACTCAGTATTTTCTTTTAAAAAGAGTTTAATGTAACTGAGAAATTGAAAGTCTGGGGACCTGAGTTATGCAGTGCTTGTGCACTCAGAAGATACAGAATTAACATGAGCAGGTCAAGCTTTTCCAAGCCTGTTTCCAGCTAAGGTTCATTATCTACTGACTTCTGAAAAAAACATGGATATCAAAGCTATAACACAATCCACGAACCAAATCAACTACCAAGATTATCTGGTTAGATTCAGGAAAGATTGAGAAGAGGGGGAAAAAGCAAAAACCTTTCTATCAAACCGTTGTCATAATGTTGTGAGACCATTTTACAATGGAACCAGTGACAACTGCTCTATGGCTCCTTATGTTCCTAAGAAAATACACAACTTTTATTTTTTTTTTATGAAAAAAAAAAAAAAAAAAAAAAAAAAAAAAAAAAAAAAAAAAAAAAAAAAAAAAAAAAAAAAAAAAAAAAAAATTAGTCTTACCAAAAAACATTGAATTTTATGGCTAGTGTTTTGAAATGCTTTATCTCTAAACTTTAAAAATAGTGCTACAAGAAGTTGGACCTTGTTAATTCTCTAATGTGATCCTGAGAAACATTGCAAGTTAACACATTTAGATAAATGAGCAAACAAGTCACAAGTGGGAGGGGGAAAAGAGCTCTGAAGCACAGCTCTACATCACAGTTACCAAAGGCTAAAGCTAAGATACAGTTGCTAAAGGTATCAACAGCACAATGCTTTACATGGATTCAAAACATCTATCTACAATAACTGATACTTGAATAATTAACATTTTCCAGTATCGTAGGTGAATTGAAGTAAACTACAATTATTGTGAAGACACATTTCTGACCCAGCAAAGTGAAAGCCAGTGATGCAAAATGCTCTAATTTACTAAAAGGCTGACAGACACAAGCTGCTGAGGTCAGGTACTGCATTCTGGAGACAGTGATGCAGCACCTGCATCACGGCAGAGCATTTGTGCAGTCAGAGGCATGACAAAACTCACAGGAGCCTTGCATCTGTCAGGCTCCCATGGATCACTGAGAGAAGGAATGGAAATGAAACACACTGCATGTCAGGGACAGCATTAAAATGATGCATTTAGAAATTAATGTACAAAATTATAACAAATGCAAAACTGTCTTGAGCACATGTGGGCCAGATACTTGGTAGGGCCAAGCTGTGCTCCCACAGGACTGTGGTGGAGCAGAGAGAGGTGGTCTGCAGGCTCTCCTTTCTCCTTTCAAGAACATGTCTTAGTTTATTATACAGCTCTTTAACAACTCTCTTTAAAAATCAGATAGACTTCTATATACTGAAAAAAAAACAGATAAAAAGATTTAAACACCTAAATTTCAGTTTATATATTTAAATACAACTTTTTGTTACAAACTTCTGCCAACTATTAAAATGTTGAGTCAGACTGGACCAACATATGTGTCGT